CCTCTGCCCCTGGTAATGTACTTGCAGTTGTTGCAGCCACAACTTACGTAGCGTTGTTATTGTTGTAGTGGAGGATATTGCAAATGCTGCAGCTACAGTAGTTACACCAAATGCAGTAGTTGCATCAAATGCAGAAGCTAACGCACTTGCTGCATCTGCAACCCCCCCTACCCCGCCCAGATCCCCTTGATCAATGCATTTGCAAACCCCCCTTCCCCGCCCAGATCCCCTTGATCTGTTCTTCTGTTTTTTTTTTTTTTTAGTAGCACTTAAAATAATGAAGGGATCAACAGGCGAAGAACAAGTCAAGCAGAAGCAGAAGCAAAGAGGGAGTAGGGAGTAATTGGTCGGACTAACTTAGGTAGGGGTGAGGGATAGTGAATCATTCCAAGTGAAACAAAGAGTATGGTAAACCCTACTTTTGCGACTTCACGTCAGAATTGTAGAAAGGTAGTGTTTTTTTTTTTTTTTTTTTTTTTTTTTTTTTTTTTTTTTTAAAGGAAAAAAAAAACATCAAGTACACGTATCATTAAAAAAAAGTACCAGAAGCACACAAACGCATTTACTAAGCACTGATTATGCCGACAATCGGTCTGACAAAAAAAAAAAGAGTAATAAGCCCTTTAACTAGGTCCACAAATCGACCGTCATTAATACACCACATGGCTAGTTGGAGCAACTTCTATTATTTAGTAACGGGGCCGTAATCTGTCAATGCACATGGTCGTATAGGCGCTTGACAGGGTAAAAAAATTAAAACAAAAACAGTATTCAACATAACAAACGTTCTTATTAAAATGTTGTGAACCCCAAACTGTATTTATGTACATAATCGCTCCCTCAAGAAGCCAAGACAATGCCAAAGCCGGACAACAGGTCGAAGGGGAAGGCAAAGCAAGAGGACAAAGTACGAAAGTGAAGAGAGAATAAAAGAAGAAATCTTACCTTCAGTATGGTGGTTTGGTTGCACCTGCATCTAATCCACCACCTATACCACCTGCAACTAACCACCTGCAGTTGCAACTGCTGCACTAGGTGTAGCAAGTTCAGCAGCTGCAGCAAGCACAGCAGGTGCAGTCTGATGCAGCAGCTTCAGCTACTGCACATGTCGCAGGTGCTGCAGCAGCTGACCCAAGGTTTTTTATCTTTTCCTGACCTCTACACCTGGTGTTGTACATGCATGCTTTTGCAGTTATTGCAATTGCTGCAACTGCGTCTGATAGTAAACATGAAAAAATGAAGCACACATGTACATGAGTTCATATAGGAAGCATGACTGCAAGATTGAAAACGTTATTCTTTCTTTATCATAAGATACATCAACAAAGACGAACATCTGTTATGTACAACACACTCCGTTCCTTTCAAAACTGTGCCCCTACACATAGTCAAATACACCACACGTCATACTCAAGTTGCTCAAGCACTATCTCATCTCACCCCCAACGGGAACGCCAAATATGAAAAACCAACTCCGGTAATGCCACTCGTAATGTCATGTGCTATTGTACACATAAGTCTTCTAAGAGGAAAAACAAAAAAAAATCCTCATCCAAATTCAGGCATGACACTTGTGTTTACGACCTGTAATTCCAAAGTCTTGCGAACCTCCTACTCAATCCAAAGCTATGGATTGCATTGAATGACTCCTCGCCGCCCGCCCTTCACCGTCATGGAAAATGTTCTCTGTCCTCCCCACTGTTTTGCCAAAGGGTCTGTCGCAGTCAAATTTTATGCCACTAAATGCGCCACATCTTATCCAATGTCCTTCTCAGAGATGACCCATTTTCAAATGAGGACATTCAACAGTTTCATCTTCTGCTAATCTCGTCTAAACCCCCTGCTACACATCTATGATTACATGTCTCCTAACACGTGTGCTTCCGAAAATAAAAGGGAAAAAAAACTTCCAAAAAAAATGGCGCAGCAAGATGAATTCCGAAAAATAACATCTCCCTCAATGTCGGATGTCCTCAATGGTGCCCTCCTCCATTACTTTCTTCTTCTCTTTGACGGCACGGTCTGAGAGACATCCTTTGCTTTCCTTTTTACGGTTTTTTCTGACTGTCGTCTTGTTCTTTTCTTTACTGTATGTGAAGATAAAGCTTGGTTTTTCTTTCCTCCATCATCGTTTTCTTGAGCCTCTGTTTGCTTTTTGTTTCCAACATCATCAATTTTTTGACCCTGTCTCTTTGGGTGCCGGAGGACGTCTACCTGCATTGAAATCAGAATGTGCTTGCAGTATCTCATGCACCAATGTAATATCCTTATTATTAACTGTCACTCGTTGACGGTGCCCTGCGGTTAGAACAGTAAGTGAAAAGATGTGCCTCTGAAATCTCCTGCAAACATTTGATTGCTCCAGCCTCCATCCTTGTCACATTAAGGCCTCGAGTTTGTTCATCGTCTTGCAAAACTTCTTTCACTAATCGTACAAATGGTGCAAAAGCAATTCAATGGTCGATTGAGGACTGTTGGATTTTGATCTGTCTTCTTGCTTTCTGTAACGGTCGCGCACGTCGAGGCTGCACGCCTTCTTTGACTGCGTTTTGTTTCTGTTGTCTCCTTGTTGCCTCCTTCACTTGCCAATCTTTCAATTTTCGACCACCATGTTTTGCATCAAGTTTACCTTTCCCACGCTGCTCTTTTCCTTTGCCTGCTACATCCCCCTTTCTATTTTGTTTTTCTCCTGACTTGCCTTTCGGTTTGTTACACTTCTCATTGTCTTTCAAAGAACCCTTTCCACGAGCAGGTGGTTTCTTTCTACGATGTGCAGACCCTGATGCTGTATCCCCCCTTCCCCTTCGGGCAGACTTGCCACTTCTTGCACCCACATCCTCATGCTCAATATTGCCATGTTCATCTTTATCTCCGCATCCACCTGCCTCCTCATGCTCGCCTGTGATGTTTCCCATTTTTTCCTCATTTCTTCGACCATCATCATTCCCATGTTCACCATTCTCTTGGCCTCTCGCCTCATGCTCCCCCACTGGTGTTGTGTTCCCCCCTTCCTTTCGGACAGTCTTACCACGCCTTGCACCCACATCCTCATGCTCAACATTGTCATTGTCATCTTCATATTCACATTTGTCTCCCTCGTCATGCTCACCTGTGATGTTTCCCCCTTTCTTGTCATTTCTTCGTCCATCAGCATTCTCACCTTCACCATTCTCGTGGCCTCTCTCTTGGTGCCCACATGTGACATTTCTTCGTCATCTCCACTTCTTGGGCCATTAACTTTCTCATTTTCACCGTTCTTCTTTTCGCCCTCTCTTTTGCCTTCACCCTCATCCCCACCTTTGTGTTTGTCCTCTTTGCCCAATCTACTGACATTGCAATTAGAGCCTGCTTGTCGCAATGTCTTCCCCGTCCCATTTTCCAACTCTGTGCAAAAGTCAGTGGTGGATGAGTACCGACAGTCTTGTAAAAGCCCCTCCTCATATGTAAGAAGGAATGGCACGCCCAAAGGGTCATTGAAAATAACATGAAGCGGTGTTCCATCAATGTTCTTTTCGGGCCATACAACAGGAACCCAACCCAACAGACCAAGGCATGGGAAGCGTTTGCGTAGATCCAGCATGAAATCGGAACGATCAGCATCATCATTTGTCACACAGCTAGTACTGTTTTCAACGTGCCACATATCTTGATCAGGGTAGGAGTCGTACCCAGTGATGACCATCTGAAGATCGTTCTCGGGGATACGATTCCTACAGTACTCTGCATGTCTGCGCACTTGTGCTTTGTTATCCACATGAACATTCATCAGCCAAACCCGAGCAACAATTACCATGAATTGCCAATGTCTAACCACGCCCTCCTTCAAGGAGCCCATAGGGAGCCAGTGCTCCGATGAGCCAACCAAGGAAAATTTTGCAGCCATTGTGGCTTTCCCTTCCCATAACCCTGGTTGCAGAACTCCTTTTATCCAATTGATGCGATACCCGTACTCGTCTGCACTCCTCACATCTAGAACCTCCGTCTCATCCACTAACGTATGCTTTACATCAAACTTCTGGATATTTATTTCCTTCACTACATGAGGGTCCCATATTGGTTCCCATGCGTTCTCCCACCTGCTCTTGCTCCCTGTCTTGTCCGTGAGTAACACACTACCGTCTTTCAATAGCATGTCACCATCGTTGATCTCAATAGCAACAGGGTTGCAAATCGGAACACTCTCTGCATGTTTCAATCTGCCATCATCATATTCTTTATTACACTCATGAAAACCGACCTTCTCGTTTAGCTCCCTGTAACATATGCTTCCATTCGTGTAAGTGACAAGCCAGATGTTCCCCATGAGGTCTCGACAGTGCGTTATAACACATCCAGTCCTTTGTGGGATGTTGTGTGGTACCCATCCCCACCTGGGATCCCTTCTGGGGTCAGAGTTGTCGCAATTGTCAACAGCAGTGGCGACACTAGGATCCACAAACCATTGTGCCTTGTCATCAACATTATCGTAATAGAAATCATTCAAACGCAGCTCTTTCCTCTTCGCCAACTCATCATACAATTCAATGCAGTGAATGGTCAACATGTCATTGCAAACCTCGGGGTGCAACAATTCAATTGCATGGATCCACAAACCATTGTGCCTTGTCATCAACATTATCGTAATAGAAACCCGATCCACAAACCTCGGGGTTTAACCTAGAAACCCGATCCCAGAGTACTCCAAAAGTTACCTGCTTCCATGCATGTAGTGTCGGTGCTTCCACAGGCAACCAATTTCCTTCACAGAAAAAAGCAAAACATTTTTCACCACACACCTCACCTGGTTGAACCTGGTTGAACTGCTCCAACCTCCCAAATAACATCATAATCAAAGTGTTCCCCAGCTACTGTTCTTTGTACATTTTCTCTCTGTACTATTCATTCACCAACACTGAAATTTGTACCATCCTTCGTGCACCCGCCTTTGTCGCCACTTTCGTAAGTTTTCCCGAGAGCATTCGCCACCCCTCCTCTCTCTAACTCATGTGGAACGATTGTTACACACGGAGTCTCATTCGTACGCACCTTGCTCTTCCATGACAGACCGTCGATGTCATTTGTGTCTTTAACAACCATGCCTAGCAGGATACCTTCTGTGTCCATCGTTTCCGTTTGGCCCAGTACAGAACCATTTCGCAATATGTTGCAAGGACTTTCCTCTTTCCCTTCGCTTATGTGTGCAATATCTGAGGCACACACAAAACTTGTTGCTACCCCTGAAGCAACGCCTAAGGGAATACTAGGCACGAGGACAGTCATCGACGTCTTTGTTCCCGAAAACTTACCCCATGTGGAATTCTCATCTGGTATGACCATGCCATCCACAAAATCTTCTGTATCTATTCTCTCAGTGTCCCCGACTGCACAAGCTGGTGTCAAAATGAATGTCAAACTTTCCTCCTCGTCACTAGTTTTTCTTGCAACACCTTGATCATTTACACACTCTGTTGGTGTCGCTATCCCAGTTGTTGCAACATCTGGTGGCACGGACATGACGACAGTCGTGGACACCTCCAATAACAAAGCTTATGTACTCCGCATCTGCCAGAGTTATCTACCTACAGCATGCCGGCAAGAACATCTTTCATGGCCATATACAGCGTGCAGTACAATGTAGAAAGTAATATACATTATGTCAAACAAGAGGTTATGAATATAGGGTACGTTGAACTTTAAGCCTTAACTCCAGTGCATGGTAATAAGGTGTCAAGTTCCTTTCCACTACCGATACAACATCATAACTCTCTCTCTCTCTCTCTCTCTCTCTCTCTCTCTCTCTCTCTCTCTCTCTCTCTCTCTCTCTCT